GATCCATTAGGTAATTATCAATCAAACCAAGAAGATGGCAGCACCGAGCAGGAGGTCTGATATCCCAGTAATGATACACTGAGCGAGGCAAAGAGTTTCCTGCTATTGACTTCTGCCACATAAATAAAAAAAAAAGACCAAAACAAATTACCTGCACCAGAGGAGTAAGAACATCTTCTGTCTCCCTGCTGCTGCTTTCTTGGCATGTTTCCTGTAGTGGAAACTTAATGCAGAGCTTGACACTCAGGTCCAGTGCGTGTGTGAGCACTGGACCTGATTTTTCTTTTCTCCTTATTAGTAGGACTAGGTAACTAACATTTTAATGATCAATTTTACCATTTTCATCTTGCAACAGTTTATAACATTACAAGATTTCTTATGTTGCTGTCACATAAACTATTCCCTCCACACAAAGACAAAGCAAATCCTTCAGTTTAACTATCAAGTACAATAGTCTTTTTCACACAGAAAATATTTACGACTGTTATGAGCTACCTTCCATTTACTTTGCAACAGTACTACGGAACTCTAGGACCATCCTCTCAGTTTAAAAGTAATCTGCTGAAAGTTTCTTGTCAGCATCTTACGAACACATTGATCTGTACAGATGGAAGAGAAAGCTCATCACAATCTGACCATGGTCTGCTCACCCAAACATCTCCAAATGTTTTAGTTTCAAGTTTACTGGTGTCATTTTATGGCAGTAAATTTCTACATTTCACGAGAAAATTCATTTCTCCCACATTTTTGTAAATGCACTTTCACTTTTCCAGTTACCGTATATATTACCTGCAATAAACTGAATGCAGAGAGGCCCAGGCGGAGTAGAGAAACAACTGCCCCCTCCCATCAGGGCACTGCACCGCCGTGACCAGGAAGACATGGTCACACCACCCGACGAGAGGTCTACGAGCACATGGAGGTAACTAACAAATACGCTGCTGAGTTTCTGAGAGTGCCTCCCCATCCAGCTGTGGGTTTGCAGACAGTGGAGCCACCATTTTTAAAACACCTCTTCTTTTGTTCGCTGCAGAGATATAGCTAATAAAAATAAACAACATGATGTCTTCTACTCCATGCCAATTAAACCAATGCAAAGAAATGTTACAAAACTAATCTACAACAATCACATTTACCATTTCGCTCCTCTCTAAGGAACAGCTCTGAACTTCTGACGCAACTGAGGATAAAGCCATTTTATCACAGCACAGATTTTTATTAGCTGGTTCCCACCAGGCGGGCACCGCAGCCCTCTCACACAATGAAATCAGTAACAGAGAATCTTTACTGGAAGCTCAGAAACATGTTTCCTTTATATACAAGAAAAACTTATTTACAACCATCAACAGTAAACTATATACAAAAAAAATACAAGAGACATTTCCATGGTAATCACTGTATAAATTAACACAATAAATAGGAGGGAAGCAGGTCCCATTTTTAAGGCACAAAACCTTCTTCCCAAGACTGTACAGGGATTCAGTTGCTTCCCTATGCTTTTGACAGGATCACAGGAATGACGGGGAGACCCCTGAGGAACAACGGTCGATGGACAATGATATAGACATGCAGTCACTGCTGACAGTTATAGAAAAACATCATTTTTCATCCTTTCCTTTTTTTTTTTCTTTTTACAGTACACACATCTTAAGATACAAAATATTTCGTGTAAACAGTCTTTTGTTAAATCACATAGATAGTATGCACATTTTTAAATAATACTAAAACAACGAACAAAGCTTTCCATACGATTTGGGTGCAGAAACATTCCCAGGACTGGCACTGAAGGCCTCGGCAGAGCTGGAGGCTCCTGGATGCCCGGCTCTTGTGCGGCCCGGCTGGCACCTCCGGGCACCAAGCGTCACACCTCCCCTCTGCTGCAAAGAGCCGGCTCCTGCCGCAGCGGGGCACGCGTGTTCTCAGCACTAAGATCCCATAAGCGAAACCAGAAAGACTGCGTTAGCACTAACAGCCCTCCCGAAGGTATCCCGGAGCAGGCTGCTGCCGATAGCTGCTTCACGGGCCAAACCTCCCTCAAGTCTCCATTGCATGCACTCCCACTGAACCGAAACATCTTAACACAGGGGACGTTATCCCCCAGAATCTGCCATTAAAGTTCAATATCCAGGGCAGTGCCAGGATGTGAGATAACATGCTGAAACCTCTTCCTAGCAGAAGAAACTGTACGCCCAGCTCACTGCAGACACTGCCCCAGCATCACTGCCAAGGGTGAGGGATGATAAACAGAAGGTGCCGCACGGCTTTCACATGAGTAGCATTTTTGAAGAGGCTACACATCTGTGCGATATGTGCAGTTCTAGCTTCTCTCAAGCTGGTGTTTTACCTGAGACTGCAGAGGAGAGTCTCTTTTTTGGCAAAGCAGCAGATTTTTTTACTGTCTAATTGTCTTTCCTGAGTTTCTCTCCCACAAAAAATTATCAGATGCCAGAAGAGGAACTCGGAATAACGTAGCCAGAAGTTCAGTCTGGCTCCCTACTTTGCAGATTAACTCTCACTGATGTTTGACCCAAATTATCCTCATCTATTCACAAAATCTCTACGACAGAAATCTGCGTTATTCCCAGTGAGACACATAGAGCTACGACCCTTTTGTTAGATATAAACCTTAATACATATTCAAAGGCACGCAGGTTAAATGTGGATCCTATTTTCTAGCTCTTAAAGAAGGTAGAACTCCCTCCCCGCCTGCAGTAAGCAATAGACAGGAATATACTGGCTACGAACCCTTTGATAAAATGTGCACGTACACAAAAAGGATCTGAATCCATCAACACGACAGATCATAAAGTGAAAGAAATGAAGATTGGTCTGTCCAGGCATCATCACTCACAGGAGATGGCTAATGGCCGCCAGGCCTCTACAGATATGGCAAGAATTAAGGAACATGCCTGAATCTATAAACTCTTTGGATTCCCCTGTTACTCTGAGCCGGAAGAGCAGAGAGGAGCTGTTTCTATTGAGGCAAGAATTTAATCCCCCAGCAATTACGCAAGCAAGGCAAGCGCATATTGTTTACGCACCTTTAACCATGAGGCTGCCTGGAGAAACTTCACAGTAAGAATAGCTCCTTCACCACGTACAGGAATAAACACAGACCTCACCTCTTCTCCAGAGTTATCACCTGCCTTGTGCTCCCTGCTGCACTCTCCTGGGCAGGCACATGAATGTCCTAACCACGCACACTCCCGGGGACAGGCAGCAGGCTGCACCCTGCTGTCACCAGCGAGGATGGCTGCGTCCTGAGCTCTCCTTAGTGGAAGTTTCTCCTTATTCTCATGCAGATGCTGCTCTGTGCCTCAACAAGCAAGTGGGAAAATACATTATGTCTACAATTCTTACTCATCTGATACCTCAGGAATTCAATACAGTGGGGGGGGGGCTATACTGATAAAGAAAAAATATGGCTATGGAAGCAATTGCCAATGTATAGATAGGAGAAACAAATTCAGGGCAAAGCTGAACATATTTCTTGCTCAGTCCCCATAGTATTTATACCAGAAATTTTGGTAGCTGGATTACGCACTGTTAATTTCTCATGAGCAAACCCTGTCACTCGCTAGGCTGAGTGAAGACGTGGGTGAATGACAACTAGTTAAAAACAGATAGGGAGAGTCAGAATAACACTCGGTGAAATCTTAAAGAATGCAATGGAGTTTGCCCAGCATGAAATCAGCCCATAACCTTTTTAAGCTGACAAGTCTTTACATAAAATAACTTGACTGATTGCTGTTAGACTAGAGAGCTGATGTCAATTTGATAAAACCCTTACAAATAACACAGAACAACAATGTCCTCAGGAAATTATCTTTTATGCCACTGTGTATGTGGCCATTTTTCTGTCTGCAGCCATAGCCAGACAGGTGCCACTCTGTAATAATAAAAAAAATAAATACATACAAAACCAGAAAGTAATTTTTGCTGTCTCTCCAGCTTTACAGCACTGAATGTTCCCGAATTCCCTTCGCAGTGATAAACATGGCAATATAGCTATGCACGCTGGTCTTCGGGCTTTAACAGTCACCCGATTGGGGTCAGGCAATACAGTGGAAATTTGAAGGCCGCCTAGGAACTCTGATTCAGAGGCACTAATTTTTCCATGCTCCACTGCTGGTGCTACCAAAGGCAATTTATCAACATACTCGTTTTCATTACGATGCTCATCTGCTCAGTAACAATCCTCCTTCTCTCAGTGCTCTTACAGGAGCCCTGATGTTTGACAGCACATGATATCTCTCTTGGGGGGTACAACCCAGGAGGACTGAGCCACCCTAATCTTTTGGTATCCACCTTGGAGTGAAGGAGCAAGGCAGCAAGAGAGAGAAGCAAGGTGGAAAAGCCACTAGAACCAAGACAGGTGAAAAGATGCAAGTACTACAGATAAATCGTATCTTTTGTGACAGAAATAGTTTTCTGCACTGCAAGTTGAAGTAAAAAACAGCTCTGTTGTCTGTGGCCACGAAGGTGGCACTAAATGGGCAGGAAGCCGCTCCTGGCCATTGCCAGTCATGCTGCTCCCCCCACCAAGACGGAGCAAATTGTTCCATATCTCACTCCATTGCATTACATTTCGTGCACAGCTCAAACAGCTAGTTAGCGTTCCTCTCCCCTTCATCTGGGCTCCTGAAGATGAATCAGAAGGGGGAATGTCAGAGCTGACCTCCTGTAATCTTTTGGCTCTCCAGAATTTTGTCGTTTCTTACCGACAGGAATTTCTGAACCATTGTTTGTGATGGCTGAAAACCTAAAGGTTGTACCATTGCCACTGGCTGGAAGAGGAGAGCCAGGCCCTGCAGAAGACCCCGCAAGCTGGTGCGAACCGCTGTTTGAACCACGTGCATTGTTTGTTGCAAGGCATGAGTGAGTGAGAATCACTGGGTATTCATCAGCAAGAGGTCTGTACTGGCTTTGAATTTCTGATGCAAATCACATGCAACTACAGGTGCATTAAAAAGGGATTAGTAAGACACAAGGACAAGCTTTGTCCCACTTAAATGCTCTAAGATACAGGTGTGACACACAGATGAGCGGGAAAGTTTTGGGTCTGAAAAGACTGTCAGATGCTCCTGAACTAAGACTGGCCAATATATCTTTTGCCCTGAATAATTCTACTGTGATGAAGTTATCCAGTAAAGGTAGCTGTGTTGCAATTCTCAGGAGTCCTGCACTGTCACTGGAACCAGAACTTCCCACGTCGGAGGACATGGTTCTTCAAACAGCAAGTGAGTTTTCTTCCGGGAGGCTCTGCCTGACTGCAGATAAGGTGCCTCTCGACTGGATGCAGCCGTACCCCACAGGAAAAAAGGTAGCACCATGCTTGGTTGATATGAGCCCTGAACAGCAGAGACAGTTGTGAGCACATCTGCTCTGTGAGGTGACTGCTGTGCAGTTAGGGGGAATGGTAGACACAGGCTGTGAAAACAGAGGCTAAACCTCGCTGGCAGGAGTACTCCGGCTCAGCTCCTTGATCCCGTGCAGTATCCTCTTCATGTGACCCACTTTGGTCACACCCAGGTCCTGGAAGAAAAGAGAAAACCTTACCTTAGGAGAAAGGCAGGGGGGAAATTGCAGGTGGCCAAGCAATGGTTACAAACTAGTCAGCCAGTTACAAAAAGATGAGGAAACCAACCAGAGAGATTACAAACCTGATAGTTATATGTGGAACCTCAAACCACGTGTCAAAAAGCTATCAGAGCATGACAGGGTAATGAACACAGAGCAGGCACAGAGCAGTGGAGAGAAACAACTGCGGACCGTTAGCCAGAAACGCAAATTGCTTTGACTGTTAAAGGCCAAAGCAAGAGAACAGAAAGAGCATACAGATCTCAAGGACCTAAGCCAAAACATGCAGGAAGAACAAACCCATCACTGGTCACATCAAATAAATGTGTAACACTTGGGTACCATGCAACAAAACACAGTCTGTAGCTGGATGGCATGCAGAGGAATCGGCTACACAGATTACAGCAAACCTCAGAACAGGAAGATGGTCAAAATGACAAATGAAGATCCAAGGGGCATTCAACAAATGCCATGCACTACTTTACAACAAAGTATTTTTCTGCTATATGCAAGTCACCAGAATGATGACACAAGTCTCCTGCACATGCAAATAACCACCACTTTCAATTTTTCTCTGTAGAGGAAGCATCTCCCGGTGAGGAGATGCAAAGTTGTGCAATGTGGTTACTAAGCACTATTTAAAAAGACTCTCTCCATCTAGAAGCCTCATCAAAGACCACGATGATTTTTTTTCTTGTAACAAAGAAGTGCAATGATCTATTTGCCCAGTGACTACAACGTAAGAACCACATTTTCCCAGTCACAGCATGTTCTGCAAAGATGGTACAGGAGCTGAAAAGTTGAAAACTTCCATTCCGTCATTAAAATCAGAGACTCTCAAGAACACTATCTACAATCTGTGTGCTGGACTGTATTACGTCCCCAGGAAGCTGTGGCAGAATTGGACAGCTGGTCCCTCAACTAGCTGTTCTACGTCCCTGGTATTAAAAATCAGGTGACCTGAAATGGTGAGAAAACAAAATGAGGCTGCAGTGAACCTGTTCATCTTGCCAAGGCACGTGGAATGAACAGTGGGCAGACCACTTCCAAGCACATTCAGCACAGAAGGTCATGCAGATGTAGCTGGCTATTTCTCATGAGCCGATCATAAAAGTACCTTGAGGTCCCTCCGTTCGAGGTGCAGGAGCTCAGAGCCCCGGACGTCATGCCGGATGAAGATATCCTTATACTCACAAAGACTGAGATGCTCAAGCCAGGCCGCAACCTCCTCCGTTCCCCAGAGGTGAACTGTTAGAGATGGAAAAGCAGGAGTGCATTGAGTACCCAGAATCCCAGAAGACAGTGAGAGATGAGGACACCACCAGCACTCAGTGCCAGAGAAGGAGGGCAAGCAGTACCACAGCCTCAAACCAAGGGGAGGGCAAGGACTGGTAGCATGACCTACAGTCTCAAACAAAGGAGGTAGGGCAGAGAAAGGTAAGAGGTGTTCTCTTAAGCAGAGGCTAGCTGCAGTAAAGCCAGGAGGAAGTGCGTGGTCATTTTGATGGGATTAGGTATGCTTTTTAAAGTTTACCCACATGTTTAAGAAGAGTAAGTTCATTGATATTCCTCAGTTTACAAAACAACAGATTCATAAAATATATCATGAAGAATCAAGCACAGATTAGTTTGCTATTATGTACAAGCACTTGTGCTCAGTGAACAAAATGGCAACCTCTCTCCCCCAAGTCTGAGTGAGAGAGGAAGTGTTCAGACTTCCACCTTCTTGCACAACCTCTAAATAAGAGAGTAACAAAGATCCCAAGTTCTGCGAGGCAATGAATGAGCACCAGCCTGTCAGACAGAAGGAGGCTGTACCCGCAACTCCATGGCAGAGGACAGGACCCAGGAGCCCACAGAACAGGTAGTACTTCTGAATTTTAGAAGAAAGTCTTCATAAGGAGAGTACAAACCAAAAATCAACTAACCCAACTGGAGAGAAAGTGTCTTGAATGGCAATTTGTTGATTCAAGGCCAGTTTTTAGCTACTGACCAGTACGATTAAAGGTCAGGGTACACCTGTGGTGATGCTGATCCCCAGCCAATTAGACATGAAACTTGATTAAAGCCTGAGGGTGAATCAATGAGAAAAACACCATTAACCATATCACAGAGAATTAGCAGCGAAAAGACTGGAGTTATGCGGACTTGGGCTCCACAGTCATTTTGATACCTAAAATGCCAAAATCCTCAAATTCATTTCACTAAGCACCCCCTAAAATATCCCAGAAAATGCCTGGATGTAGGCAGAATTCTTCAGAGGGCACCTCCTGTTTCTGCTCAGGAATATTTGCGTGGTACTAGGGGATCATGACTTAGAACGGAGCAATAAGCTACTTTGCCACGTGAAAAAGACAGACTAGACCTCCAAGAAAAGGCAGATGCACTTGAAACAGAAGAAGGAGAGAACATGAGAGGAAACAGAGAGAGAACAGATAGTGGTGTGACCACACCGATGTGACAAAGAGACACAATGAATGAGCAGACTTGGTACCCGGCAATCCCATGCTACTATGAGTCTCCTTATTTTTGTTGTTCTTCTCCTTTTTAAACTTGGTCACTAGCCGGAATTTGCCACTGCGGCTCCGTTTAGAATAATCCAGCATCTGGTTCTGTAATAACAAAAAGGGAAAATCAGGCAAACAGTCATAAACTGATTGGAATGGACCAAGAGCAACAAGTACTGTCAAGCTCAGCTCCATGACCTTGTAAGAGAGGAAAAAAAAATTCTAAACTCATTCTGATCAAGACAGGAAAGGAAACAGAGAAAGTTGATCCCATGTCAGGCAAGGGACCTTAGCAGGAAATTACTTTCTTTAGCCCTAGGGAGTCAAGTTTCCTTCTTAATGATTTTTTCTCACATCAGTCATACATTCACAGGAAGTCAAACACTCACAGCCAACTAGTGAAAAAGAGAACAGCTAGGGAAATATAGCCTTGGTCCTCCTCACCTCCTCATCACAAGGCTCCATAAGCTGCCACAGCCAAGGGATGTCTGCTAGTTTCCTCAGCTGGAGGTCCATGTCTGCCAGGGCTGCTTGGAGCTGCTCCTTCTGTGGAGGATCTAATTGCTGGATCAGAAATGGAAGCAAAGCAGAGTTAAAAGCCGTACGGTGGAACACACAGTCAGGCCCTTGCCTTGAAATTCTTAGGTAACAAAGCAGTTCCTCCTTTTAAAATGAAGTGCACAGCAGGCACTCTGCCCAGATGTTACCAAGTTAATGATTTTCATTGTTTATGAGCTCCAAACTCCATATAAGCTAGCTTGACTGCTCATCATGGCTATGTAGCAACAACATCCTAATTCTTTGATGATAACATTTAAACTGACTTGTTACAAAGACAAAGAAGACCAAGACCAGCAAAATGTTGCTTGCCAAGGCAACAGTAGGAGAGGAGAGAAAGCGAGAGGCTGCTTTACTCCTGCTTTGTGCTTCTTACCAGCGCCATCTTGCCCGCCAGCAGCAGCTCTGTCTCATTATGCAGGGCTTTGACATTATTCACCATCTCTACAACAAGGCTGCAGTTCAGACCCTGCAGGGAAGCAATTCATGCGCAAATTAAGCCTGGAAATGCAGAGGTCTGAGCAGTCAAAAGGAAGAAGTCTTAGACAAGCAAGGCCTACTTTTGGTCAATCGGAAAGGAAAACCAAGAGCTATGGAACAAGGACAAAATGGGAGATGCCAAGTGAGTGAAGTACCTCTGTAGACTTGGATTTAGCGTAGACTTTGTCCATAGACTTGGAGCTGGCATTGACAGCATGGGCAAGCTCCTGTTCCATGTCCTGATAGGATTGGGCTATTTCCCGAATGCTAAAGAGAGAATTACAGATTGCATCAGCATATGCTCAAAGCAGGAGATCTTTTCTGACTGGGTATCTCCTTTTAATACCCGAGTGACAAGAGCAGGGATAAAGCATGGGAGGGGCACAGCCTCTGGCAAAGCAGGGCAACTCTCCCTGCTATAGTGAGCATGCATAGGCGAAGCAAGGCAGATTTCACATGCACAACTCCAGGTGCATATTCAATTCTGCACACAAGTTGGGATCAGTTTGTACAACCTAGACATTTTAGTATGGCCACAGTGATGTGAAAGGCAGCTGCACATATGGCAGTTTAATTAACACTTCTCTGATGTGACTCTGGGAATTTTCTCTCAGAGGCCCAGACCAAGGAGCTGAATGTCTGAGTAAAGGATGAGCAGGTGAGCATACAGTGACTTCTTCCAGAAATCTCTGCGGCACATCAGGGTTGTAAGAACCCAACTTGTCATCTGAGCTCCTAGAGAGGCCTTTGTTTCATTGCTCATAAAAATCATTGATATTCAAAGATAAGGTTCCTTCAGGATTAAAGGATCCATGTTTGCTCATGAAAGTAACATTTTTTGTTCAGAATGACCTAAGAAAGTTTACTCGACTTCAGTCCTCATGCAGCTGGGACAGTGCATAATGAACAACGTTACCCCCAGTGACATGGACCAGCACTGCAGAAGATAAGAGTGAACAGAAACATCTCCAGGAACAGTGAGTAGGACAAGAACTTCAGGCACCAAAGGAGGGCTCTATTCACCAAAAGCAAATTGAGTCCCACCTGTGGATCAGAGCACCTGCAGCTTGACCAAACTGGTTGATCTGGGTGGATTCTTCTTCGGACATGATCTCTGGTTGCAGAGAGAAAGAGGAGGGTCGGGACAACTCACACTTCTGTTTGTCCTCCCAAGACTTCAGGGTGCTCTCAAATGCCTAAAAACACAGCAAGCAATCTGTAAGATACCTTATAAGCTCCTGTAAAAAACAATGGATGTGCCTATGCCTGTAAACCATATAAATCTGATATAGACACTTTTCATTGCAGGACCCAGTTGTTCAGCTGCTTATAACTTTGCTAAATAGCTGTCTGGGCTGAAGTTTTCCATGCCACATGCTTGCCTTGGCTTAACTTTTGCTTAAGCCTAGTTTTAGTCAAAATTGCTAGGCAAATTCTGAGGGCCAGACTAGCAAAATCCACCAATTCCCTACTGGTGGCAGCCTTTTCTCTGAGTAGCTATATCCCCTCTACACTTCAGTATTCTGCACACCTCTTCAAGTGACATCTCAGAGCTGGAAATTAAAAATGTTCAAGGCTCCTTCTTATCCGGGAGTAAACTGGGCTTCCCCAGTAATTGGTGGGACAAGCAGCTGAACTCAGAGCTAGGACCTGTCCCAC